AAGTCAACGGGAGAGCTTGTAATAGCTTGTGGCCCGATACCATAACTACGTGTAAGTTATCAGTGGCATATTTGTGCAGTTTCTGGGTATTCATTTCAGTGGCCAACTGACACCTTAAAATATATATAAAAGAGAAGACTAATTTCTCTTGGAATTTGAGATCCAATATCGGATATCGTGCATCTATGCGTACTTTTTGCTAGGCAATTCAGAAGCAGTTTTTGTTGTAAGAATAATTGTTTACGCTAGGAAACAGTGTGGGAAATTTTTCCCACCATTAATAATTTTTGTAGTTGTTTGTAAATTTGTTGGCTATATGTCGTTTTCTGTTCATGTTGCATTCTCAGCTTTGTTGTATTCAGTTTAGTTACGTAGTTTAAGAAGGTAACAGTATCCGCTAGGTGAGACACTCCTTTCTAAGCATCCACACCGTCCAGACGTCCGATCTCGTAATGTGCCTTATCTCTAACGCAGCAAGTTCTCAATTATTCAATTCTGGACAATATTCACTTCAGCCAACACTGCAACAGGAGTTACTGCTATTCTAAATGTCTTCCTGGCACTGTTTCACTACCATTTTTTTTTTTGGTGTGAATGTTGCTTTGTTTCAATGTAATTATTTACGCTCTATGTACAATTTTTTTTTCTATGGTACTCTAGATAAATCAATATTCAATTATTAATATCTATATTTAAATAAAGGCCTCCCACACTCACCAAATCTCAAATTTCGAATTAGTTACGTGGTCTCTGATGTTGGCAGAGGAACTAGTTTCCTGTGCTGTGACCCACGATTCATCATCTTTATCTTCAATTTTCCGACGCCAAAATCTCAAACTGTCCTTTTCTATTTTTCCGTCTGGAGTATCTCCCTTTAACTAATTTCATCTATATTTCTAATTTGCCTCTTACAAACTGCATTAAACACTGAGGTGCACCAAAATCTTAGGTTTGTTAATTTAGTTACTTGTTAATTATTAATTGATTCATAATTTGGAATTGTTTGCTGCATAGCTAGTTTCTGATCAATTAATTATTCAGTAAGTAGTATAATTTTCATTTCAGTATCTGGGACTCGTCGGGGCAACACCATTAAAGGAACTTGAAATTCGGCATTCAATCACTTCACTGAACCGCCCGTTCTTACAAGATTTTCTATACAACAAGCATATGAATTATCAAATTCGGCTTCCTCGTACAACTGGCCCGATCAACGCCAGTTGCACGTTAAATCAATCTGAATAAATATCAGCTGACTCTATTCTCTTTATTTGTCCGATTGTGTGAGACAATCTTTATTACTCACAACAGAGAGGAAATCAATTCATGAAAATTTTGATGAAATGCGAATATAATGACGACGCACAAAACCAATATAACTTTCTGAGGCGCATGTTTCAGCGACGGTTCAGATATTTGTAAAGTCATTCCTCTTGATAAATGTGGGATTAATGGAATGCATTGATAAATAAATGACGCAATCGACGAAACTATTCCAGAATTATGATTGGGACAGTTGCGCAGGCGAGTTCGGAGAAGTGTCGATCCAGTGAACAGCTCTGAAGTATAACAGCTCTCAACCTGCTACAGACGTCCAGACTGTTTATTAACGTTTTTGATTATAAAACTATTCCCTACGAGAAATTCGTTTGTTGATATCAGAGCTACGATCAATTCTTGGCCGTGATTTGTGATACTTTGGTGCTGGTGTGAGTTCATTTTCAGAAGCTGGGCACTGAGAAATGTTCACGTAAGTAAAGTCATATTGGAGTAAGTTCATTATAAATTATATATTTATATTGAACTTATAAATATGGTCTATTTATCACAGCATATTCTCATATTCTGAAGCATGGCTGCTGATGTTAACACTATATAATTGAAACTTAGAAGCTTCAATACTACAATCCACTTTATTACTATTTTCGCTACCCCTACCAGCGATTATCGCTGTTTCCGCTAGTACTTTCTGCGCTTCTGCAATTTTTTATCTTTATAACAGCTATATAGTGCTTTAACCACTGGGCAGGGTGGCCCAGTGGTTACAGTTCAGAGTATCAAGATTGGCGCAGAGAGGCGCGGGTTCGATCCCAGCTCTGTGCGCCAGTTTCTGGTCAGAATCGGCGAGGAGGCCGGGCGGTAAAGCACAGCAGAATTGTAGCAGTGAGTTGCGGGTTCGAGACCGCAAAATGCTGTGAATGTTCTACGATTTTAAGAATCGGCGACAGGCCTAGGGCCTAATAACGCTGAAACCGCTATTATAATTATAATTATATATATCAAACTTCATATCTTTTTTAATAACTATTCTCTTCACTTATTGGGAAATTCCGGTGCCCCACCCAGAACTACTGAACATGTCAACTTCCATTGCCATATTAGAAAACGATTTCATCCCTAACTGAATCATTATCTACCTCGCAGCTCGCAACATCATAACCAACGGCTGGATTCTGTATTTAACCCCCTCAGAAAGACACCATAGTGAGTAATTTCATACATTAAACTCTAATTGCAGTGAATGAGTAAAAATTGGCTCCGGCTGCGTTGGCCATGCTATTACATCTGTGAGTGAGTTGTCATTAAAACAGAATTGCCGACACGAGTGAAGATGCTCTTGAGCTCAGCAGGCAAAGTTTGGTCGAATGTGAAGATTTGGAAAAAATATCTGTTGTTTGAATTATCATTATAAATTTACCTCATTGCATATCTTTCTATAATCGATTATTCAGAAGTGCGCGACCGACATTGATTGGCTCACAATTTCCGCAGGCTTCCTCTGCAGCGTATATGGAAATCATATTCGTTAGCGTTTCCCCAACTATCCAGTCAAAAATATTATCTTAACAATTTAAATTCCATCTTTATTGCTGAAGCTCACAGATGTCCACCTTCTAAAAATAAAATGATCATATGTTTCCTTTCCGAATTTTATGTTCAAAGGTCAAAACATTTTAATATGCTAATTTGTATGTTCAACACCACGACTACGTGCACGTGTCATTGGCAGGTTTACCGTTGCTGCCTAGCTATACATTTACTTACTACGGACATTCTACATTATCATATAGAAAACATCATCATATACAATATTCTACTGAAATAAAGTACTTTAGTATATGAGGCAGCAAATGTGCATGTATGCGTAAACTTGTGTGGCAAGTCACAGGCAGTTGGGTTTGAACTTCGTGATTTAAGAATAAAGTAGTTGGTTATGCAAACATTTTTTCTGTTACTGCGATTCTTAACGTAGTGTTAAGTAGCTATGGGTCGTAGGCGAGCCATTAATGCAGATAGTGATAAAAATATATAGCATCTAAAATGTAGTAATTTTGATCCTACTACTGTCGTTATGGCTGATCTGTAAGTTTTTCAGTGTAGCGTTAAATCTTGACGCCGGCTCTGGTGGTGTGACGTGAGACGGGAGCGCAGTACTTTAGGCTTGTTCTTTGATGTAGTTATACCGTTGAATTCCTTGTAATAATGTTCCGTTAATTTTCAGACCTATGCAAAGTAATTTCAAACACTGTAATCAGGCACAGTTTTCAGAATAGCATTCGTTATCCTGTTAATTGTGTTAATAATGTTATTAAAATTTGCTAAGCCTACAAAGTTTGATTACTTGTGCGAATTACACTCCTGTTCAGTTTAAACGTGAAGTCCATTGCTAGGATGGTACGTAACCACCCTAGGCTGCAAGTCAGCGGATACATGCAGTATACAAACAGCAATTTTCGGGTAAACGTGCGAGGCAATTAATTTGTAGTAAAGTTTGTAGGCCTTTATAAAAGAATAAATTAGTTAGGGATACCATCATTTTCTAATACGTCGACTTCACACGTAGTGTTCAGTAGATACGAGTCGGCCGCGAATGAATCGTTTATGTTGATTGGTTATATAAGCCATTCACCCACGTCATATAATTTTGGATCCCTGAAATTGCCGTAAAGGTGATGGGAAATGAGAGACAGTAGTACGTAATCTAAGAGAGTTCCCTGCGACTTGTATCAGTCTCACCACAATAAACGAAGTCACGTGGTCTGATATAACTTTGTTATCGAGTTTCCAGTAGCAGACGTACTCCAGAATACGCTGTTCAAATTTACCTCATTTTAAATTACCTTAAAGATTGTATTTCAGTGGCGCACAATTTACAAAGTGCAGGCTTTCTCGCGCGCAACGCCTCAAAATTAGACTCGCACCAAAGTATCGCAAATCACGGCCAAGAGTTCAGCGCAGCTGTTATGTCAATGAAAGGAATTTCCTAAAGTGAGTAATTTTATATTCATAAACATTAACCAACAGTCTGGAGGTCGCGGGAAGGTTGAGGACAACCCACGCAGTCTTCAACCTGTAATGACAGGCTTCTTGCATTCTAATTTAGAGCTTTTCAACTCTTTCCATCTTTTTAGAGTATGACTAGCTGTCTTGTCAAATAATACTCAATAATGAAATAATCTCTGCACTTCTTTGTGGGAGTCGATGGGCTGCCACTATGGGTTTCATTATACTGCACCTCTCAAACGGACTGATAATTTCAGTCTCATTATATTGATGGCGCATGAGTTTTTGAAACGTAAACAGAAACAATTTTTATATGCTAGGGTTACGGGACAGTTATGATTGCTTTGGGGAGTTGGCCGGTGAATTCGCTGAATTGTCGATTAGTGTTAGATATATACACATTATAGTATTGGGGTGAAATCTCCGTACTGATTCATTAGACAAAATATGCCGAATAAATATTTACTTATTTATAGGTTTGCTTTCAATTAGCCAATAGATGACGTATGTTGCTAATTAGTACGACATATAGACAATTGTGAGAGAAGCTCTCGGTGTAAAAATCACTTTACGATATTGTTCCTGTTGGAAAATTTTTTACATATAAACAAACTAATAAAAATTGTACTAAAACATACATTTATATATTTGTTAAGCAATAACCATGCTTTTTGGAGAGCTTCATTGTAATTGTTGGAACATATCTGTGACGTCACACTCAGCCATTTTGTCTATTTTCCGAGTGGCGGGCAGAGTGGAGTAGATTTGCTAATGCAAGTGCAGCGTTAAATATTACTCGTCTCTCCTATTTACACTATTAGGTCAAGTGGCCAAGTTTTGCAATGGCAGACTCTGATAAATTGAATATAGACAGTATCATTGCCAGATTATTAGAAGGTGAGTGAAAATTGGAAGCTAGGAAGCCATTGCTTACGTTTCGTTTTTGAAGTTGGTTGCTTTAAATAACAAGATCCGATGAATTAATAACTTTTTTTTACCACTGTGAGGTATTTGTAGCCGTAGTGCGATTTCTATGCTAAGCCTTTTCCGTACTCCGTTGCTTACGTTTCTGTTTCTAATCTGAATCGATGAAGGAATTTTACGATTTACAATTCATGAAGAATGAAGATGACGAAATGATAGCGGTTTGAGTTATCGGTCATTCACTCATTTCCATGCATAGTGGCAAACCAGAGCTTTTTATAATCAGTTCATTTCTAATTTCCTCATTTACTCAAGATTTAAACCAATTTCTTAAGTATGATAATGCTGGTATCCAGGATACTTTACTGGTCTACTTATAGGACTCAAAAATGAACTTGAGGGAGAGTCTAAAAAACTCTCTGATTTGCCACTATGTAAATTCCATGTTAACAATTTGATCAACATTTTTACTGTGGCTAGCTAAACTGAAATAAATTTCACACAATATTATGAAATGTGTGAATTGAACTGTTTATCAAGGAATGGACTTAGCCTATCATTGTCTATGTCTCCTGTAATTTGGTATAGACTGAAAATGCTTCAATTAAATGTTAGAGAACATGCCAAACTTGAAAATTGGGCTGAACTACTGAAGCAATCTGTGACTGCATAGTGGCAACTGGCAAAGAACTGCAGAGAGGTTTTTTTACTCTCCTACAGCCTACTAGTTTGTTTTTGAGTCAATGAGTCCTATAGGGTAAAGTAAAGGCGGTATATTCCGACATCGTGGGTAATTCTGACACCTCTCTAGTTTTTCCTTTATATTAAATTATTATTAAGCTTTGTCTTAGTTCCATGCATTTGTTGATGGTTGAAATAGTTACGTCATACCTTATGCGCCAAACTATTGCCAAAACATGTCACTAGGTTTGGGCCGTCTGGTGGGAAAATGTTGAGATATAAAGAGACAGTGCATGCCACCCAGTGAGATCATTGAAAAATGTGTCAAAGTTTATAGTTGACCTTGCTCTACCAAATAGTGATAAACTGTTTTTGTAGAAAGAATGTTATGGTTTGAGACTTCTAAATACGTCCGTGAATATATTAGGAATCCTTTAAGTATACTTGTATTTGCTGATTTCAAGTGGTAAATAAATTAATAGATGATTAAGTCAAGAAACGGATTTAGACACATAAAAACTAATTCCAACACAACTTGAATTGGACACACACAGCTTGTTCCAAGCTGTGTGCAAAAATTAAAATTTTCTTAGTTAAAAGCCTAATAACTGTTGATTAAAAGCCTAATTAAGTAGTGTTTAATATTCAACAGCTGTCTCTTATACACATCTAGATGTGTATAAGAGACAGAGCTCACACAGCGAACGCCGGCATAGTGGCAAACCAGAGAGTTTTTTAGACTCTCCCTCAAGTTCATTTTTGAGTCCTATAAGTAGACCATTAAAGTATCCTGGATACCAGCATTATCATACTTAAGAAATTGTTTTAAATCTTGAATAAATGAGGAAATTAAAAATGAACTGATTCTAAAAAATCTCTGGTTTGTCACTAAGGCATTTACTCTATTGCATAGTGGCAAACCAGTGATTGTTTAGAATCAGTTCATTTTTAATTTCCTCATTTACTCCTGTCTCTTANTACTATCATATTAATAATATGGTAATTAATGAATATGGTAATATAATATCAATAAAGGAAAAATGAGTAAAAATCACAGAAAATGTCATTTATTTTACATCTACATCATCTACAATGAAAGAGGAAGACTTCAAAGTACTGTTAGTGATGGATGAGTACACTCTGCATGCTTCAAACGTTTTAAAATTAACTTTTATTGCAAATGTCCCGGATTACCCCGTTCCCAGGGGTAAATCGGGACGGTTTTATTTTGCGTCTGGCACCGTACAAATAGCATGTGGAATTTTTTTGAAGATGCCATTGGATAGCCCTCGCAAAGAGCTATAAAATGAGCCTAAAATTGTTTCTGAAATGTTTCATGGCAAGAAGTTATTAACAAAAAATGCTCAAAACCGTCCCTTTTTACCCCATTAAAAAACTATAACACAACATTATTTCATGAATGCAAGTGCTATTGCAAGAAAATTAAAAGTATTTCAATGTGTAGATTTAATTAGAAACTGAAATATAATAATTTTTTGATAATTTCTTTGACTTCTTTATTGACAACATTGATGCAACAAAAAATAATAGACTACAAAAGGAATGAAAAATAATTTCATCTGCCGAATGAAGAACATCACATGCTGTATCACATAAAACAAGAAAAAGTACAGATGCATGACTTGAAGTCTAGCCATATGCATGCTTGCTTAGGTACTTGAATGCCCAAGGTGAATGGCAAAACATGGTAGCAGACACAAAGGTGGTGTACCTTCACAATCTTTACATTTGTATCGTGTCTCTCTCCTCTTCTTTTCTTGTGTGCACACTGCAACGTAGATATCAAGGAACTTTTCCCTTCAATGAAGAAATGGTTTGCAGAGAGTGAAATTCAGTAACTCCTTCATGTTCCAAGGTACACCAATAAATATTTGGTACATCAACAATAATTTCTGAATGTTTTTCAAAAGAGAACTCTTCAATAGGTTCTTCAATATCAACCCACTCAGAAACAAGATTGTTTACAAGCACTTTCATTACCCACTGTCACTTCATCTTCTTAGGGAACTTCATCATTTGTCACAACACTTTCACATTCACTGCTTGTGCTGTCGCTATCAGTTCCATCAGATTCGAAATCTTTGTCACCAACCACGTAATCACTCAACACTGAACTGTCAAGTTACTTGAAGAACCTACTGCTAAAAGTGTTGCTGTTTGTTCATTAGTAAGTGAAGCTTTACGTTTACTTATGGTATAGGCAAAATTATAATTGTGTGATTTCTCAGAAATATTCTGTGAAAAATGAAAAAAATGAAAATTATATATATTGGAAAATATGTTGTATCCATAAAAAAAGTGAAGGTATCTTATTACTTAAATAATACCGTAAACTGTGGTAACTTTGACCACTTTTTTTTCAAAATGATGCAATTTTTTACTAGATAAGTTAAACTTATATTGAAACATGCAAAATGCAGGTCTATACTCTAGCTTTACTCGCCATAAATTGCTGGCTCCTGCCTCTCATAGTTTTGATGTAATTAAAAAAAAAATGTGATGGTCTTTGTTACCCCAGCTCTTGGGGTTTCTTTGACCGGGTGGTAAATCAATTTTATTTTTTGGTAAAATAACTCCAAATAACTCCATGCATTGTAGTAGAACTCTTCTAGTTACATATGCAAAAGAAAAATTTTAGGAAGATGTGTATAAGAGACAGAGCAGCTGCTGCAGCTCCCCCAGCAGTGGACGACTTGCCNCCTGGAACAATGCTGTGCTGTTATGTGTCGGGATCATCAAAACTTCATTTCAATTTTCAAACATTTTTGCATCAAAACTAAAGTTTATTTCATCAACTTGATTATAAATTTCTTGGTTTCTCAGTATTCTGTGGAGTTTAATACATCTCACATTTTTCTTGCATTAACCAAGAGAAATGCAAATGTTTGGTTGCATCTGAACAATAATTTAAAATATCAGAAAAAATTCAGCATTAATCAGTCTAAATCAGTTAAAATTTGAATATTTTTAACAGTATAAAATACATTCGAACTTTTCAAACAGTTACCCAAATTTTAGTCAAAAACTTGGCAAATAGTTGCAACATTTATTCCTGGAAAGAAATTGTTCTATTTTGAAGTATAATCAATTTTTTATTTACTGCTAGCAAAATGATTGTTAGATACCTACCCTAGTATTACTTTTTATTTTATATATAATGATAGATTAATTGATCCATGATGGACCAAAAATAGGTGTATAAATATATTTATGCAAGTTTGATTGAAAACCAGAGCAAAAAAGATATATGTGTTGCTTTAGTGCTTAATTTTTCAATATAGGATAATCAAAACTGTTACTTTTCTACTTGCTAAATTATCAGAATTTGTGCAGCTGCAGCATTCCATTGATCATTCATTTGCCACTTCAGCAATTTCAGCATCTTTGGCACCTATAGCTTCTAAATATTACCCTCTGTGGTTTGTTGCTATGCCTGAGTGCCACAAAATAATTGTGAATCTGGCCAATTTTGCCCTGTCCTATGTTTTCTTCTCTACATTTGATAAAAATATGAAATCTGCCTGTTTTGACCTGCCATTTTATGAAAATCTATTGGATCTATGGTTTTTACTCACAATTTTGAAACTTCTAAAATTCCAATTTGAATATTCCAAATTAGAGAATGTCGAGCATAGTGTGAAACCACAGATTTTTTAGAATCAGTTCATTTTTAATTTTCTCATTTACTCAAAATCTAAGCCAATTTCTTGTGTATGATAATGCTGGTATCCATGATACTTTACTGGTCTACTTAAAGGACTCTAAAATAAACTTGAGGAAGACTCTAAAAAAGTCTCGGCTTTGTTGCTGTGCTGTGTAGATCTAAACATCTGACTTGCTCTGATGCCAGACAATCTTATTTTGTTTCTTCAGAAATATATTTAATGCTTTTTCTTCCAAATTATTCTAAATTTTTGTTTAACTACTAGCTACAGACCAAGATTCTGTGTTGGAATTTTCCTAATAATAGAAATCTTGCAGCCCCTAAGTGAAATTTTCATATATTAGGAATTTTATGACCTGATTGTGCACTTATTTTGACAATTAGATAGGATGTTATTCATCTTGCAGGTCCAAAAATGGCAAGAAAGCACCAGTTGGGGATAAATTTCATACAAATACCAATTCATACAGATACAAATACCATGCCTGCTACAGTCTACGTAATTTTATGCCTACTGTTGCATTGCCCTGTAGTACACTACTACTTCAACCTTGCTATGTGAGAAGAATGTAAGGCTTCCACATATTAAAAAAATGAAAAATATCAGTGATAACTGAAATTTGTTATCTAATTATCACATATTGACTATAAAGCTGTTTTAATTTTTAGAAAATAGGAAAACAGCTGTTAGAAAATTAGTAATTCTAGTGTGGGAAACCTCTTCTAGCTGAAGCTGCAATTTGGAGTCATAAATGTCTAGATTTTAGCCATCAATCTCTTTTCCATGCAGTGGAAAGCCATTTTTGAGCCACAAACTTGTTTGCCAAGCTGCACCCAAATATTATGCCAATGTACAATTTTTCTCAAGTATTTGCCATTACATTTTTCCAGAGTAACATTGCAGTCATAATGAAATCTAGTGCAGGATATTTGACAGGATCTTGGTACCAAATTAAGGAAGTTTTGGAATTTCACATTTGTGCTCCCTATTTCTAATTGAACCAATATATCTAAATTCATATATAACATAGTATATAGTATACAGGACTTAGGAGTTTTGATATTCCAGGAAATGATAGGATTTTTCCAGTCCTGCTGTGGTAACTTGATAAATCCCTGACAAAATTAAATAGTTTAATTCTATCAACAATATTTATTTCAGTGCCCACTTATGAAGTTATGAATTATGAGGAGAAAATTCATAGTTTATTACTAATATACATCAAAATTATCAAATACATATACTTTTGGTGGTGGTGTTGAGACTGGTTATATATATTTTACTGCTTTAGCACTTATGTTGAACATTAATCCTCAAATTACTTGAAAATTTGGCCAAAATTGGAAGCAAACTAGGATGTAATTTTAATAGAAATATAAAGTTTTGTTGACACTTGTGGGCACTGATTGTTCAGCAAGCTGTACAAATTTTCCAGTTAGCTTATGTTTTATGATCATAAAATGTAAATAAGTCGTAAAATAAAATAAGTCATAAAATCTGTAACTTTCTAGAAATGAGATGCTCATATCCAAGCATTATTATATATCTCATCTAGGTTATTTCATTCATCAATAAATTTTAATTTTTGATTAACCTCGCCTGATTATTCAATTAAGCAAGGTCAATTAAATTAACACTTTTAATTAATTAAATTAATAATTGATTTACCTTTTTTTCACAGTTCGCGGGTCTCGTCCAGGCAAGAACGTTCAGCTCACAGAGAATGAGATCCGTGGCCTGTGCCTCAAGAGCCGAGAAATCTTCTTGTCACAGCCCATCTTGCTCGAACTCGAGGCTCCCTTAAAAATCTGTGGTGTGTGTGCTGATTATTAATTAATTAATAACTAGTATACCGTAAAATGGGGTAACTTAGACTGGCGGGGTAACTTAGACCACTTTTTGTTTTTATTACAAAAACCCCCACAACTCAAAAACTATTTGACATAGAAAAATTTTGTCAATGGGCATTAAAGGCCTAATACTGAGGCTACATAACACAATAGAAAGATTTAAAAAGTTTGCATATCTAATAGGTTAAAAAATTAAAAATGTGACCCACGAAAAAAAGCTATTATTTAAAGCCTGTCAGAGTATCCCCTCCAATTTTTTTTATTTTTTGGTTAAATAACTCCAGGTTTTGATGCATTGTAGTAGAACTCTTCTAGTTACATATGCAAATGACAAATTTTAGGAAAGTGTCATAGTTTGCAAATGGGGGGCGCCGCCCCCAAATGGGGTAACTTAGACCACCTAATGTCAGCCCTGATGGGGTAACATAGACCGGCTTGGAAGTTAATATAAAATTACCATATATAACATATTTTATGTTTGACAGCCTATTTATGTTTTTTCTTTATGTTTCAGACTCTACAGAGTCTTATATATGGTAACTTTAACTTAATATCCAAGCCAGTCAATATTACCCCATCAGGGCTGCCATTAGGTAGTCACATTTCCCTCATTATGGGGTGGCGCCCCCCCATTTGCAAACTATGACACTTTCCTCAAGTTTGTCATTTGCATATGTAACTAGAAGAGTTCTACTACAATGCACCAAAACCTGGAGTTATTTGGAGTTATTTTACCAAAAAATATAATTGATTTTACCACCCGGTCTAAGTTACCCCAAGAGCTGGGGTAACAAAGACCATCACTTTTTTTGAAATTACATAAAGACAATGAGAGGCAGGAGCCAGCAATTTATGGTGAGTAAAGCTAGAGTATAGACCTGTATTTTGCATGTTTCAATTCAAGTTTAATTTAGCTAGTAAGAAAATGGCATCATTTATAAGAAAAAAAGTGGTCTAAGTTACCCCATTTTACGGTACTTGATATTGATTGCTGTGAAAGAAATAATTGTTGTATTCTTTATATCTTTATTGTATAGGTACTACATACAGGTATATTATGTTCTCAGCCAGCTCTGTCCATCAACCTTATCTTATTATTCAAGGTTAGCAGGCTAATTTTTAATAGCAGTATTATTCACTATGATGACTCCTCATAATATGCGCCTTCCTTCTCCAGATAAAAATCCCCAATTTTTTTTTTTTTATATCTTCACATGTTGACCGGCTGTACTTCTCAGACTGCACACCAACCAAAATGGTGTCATGGAGCCATAATATTTCAGGGAAAAGAAGGATTTTTCCAGTCTTGCTGTGGTGTAGATGCTGTGGTTACTTAGCCCGTTAATGTCAGAAATTCCCTCAAGAATATTAAATCATTCCTAATTACACTGGGTCAATATATTGGATCCAGTGGTGTTACTAGGCATGTTTAATAGGGCTTTAATCCCCTGAAATATTCTTAAGCTACCTAAATAATTTCATGTTCCTTAATTTTTTCTCAAAGGAGATGCAAAGTACCTAACTCAATATAATATAGCCTGAAAATAGGTTCAGAATAATAATGCACCAGTCTCTAATATATAATAAACATTAGTTGGCTTAGCCCTTCTGTCCTCAAAACCTAGTGACCATATCTCTCACCCAACAGTTAGCCATTATTCTCCATTATTTGCCATTAATGGAGAATAATGTAGTTTAAATATTATAGCATTATTCTCCATTATTTGGCATTATTCTGCTATAACTGCAGCTAATGTACATCTGTTCTCAGGCGACATCCACGGGCAGTACTACGACTTGCTGCGTCTGTTTGAGTACGGAGGCTTCCCGCCCGAGAGCAACTACCTCTTCCTGGGCGACTACGTAGACCGCGGCAAGCAGTCCCTTGAGACCATCTGCCTCCTGCTTGCTTACAAGATCAAATATCCCGAGAACTTCTTCCTGCTGCGCGGCAACCACGAGTGTGCTTCCATCAACAGGATATATGGCTTCTATGATGAGTGTGAGTCATGTAACATGGCAGCCATGCCATGAGTGTGCTTCCATCAACAGGATATATATATGGTTTCCACTTTCCATGATGGGTTCATTTTATGCTGTTACTCTTCCAGATTATTAACAAGTTGATATCATACAGCACATTCATCGAAGGTTTCTCAAACATTTAATGAAAATTTCGGACAGGGTAGAGCTGCTTTTTTCAGATTCAATTGCATTCTCAAAATTTGTTCATTATATTTGCTCTGAGCGACGTTTTCCAATCCCAAAACAAGTCATTACAACAGTAAATTTTACATGTCTTATGATGATTGTAATTACTTAACAACTGCTACATTCTTAGGACACATGATTTCTATTTTTTTTTTTTTTTTTTGTTTCTTGCCCCGACAATCATGCGTACACGGAGGGTGGCTCTGGTGGTGGACAAGGGATGGCTCCAAAAGAGGAGAAAGATGTGATGAGTCAGGGCGGGTGGCCGAGAGGCAAGCTCCCTCCTCGGGCTGGCACCAACATAGAGGAGACGTGGAGGGGCATTGGCCAGGAGGGGGCAAAAATACTGAAGGGATTTTCTGCACTCAGGGCAGGCATCACTCGTTGTGCTCGTCACCCACCTCAAGTGTGCAGGATGTCAGGGAGCTGCAGTGGCTTGGGTGTAGCTGAGTCAACGCTGAGCAGTGGGGGCAGGGAAACAAGACCTCCTCAGAAACAACCGTGATAGTCTCTCCTGTTCGTCTCGGCGGTCTCAGCAAAGCGGGGGAAATCTATCAGCAGAGGTTCTGTTTTGCCTTTTTGTAGGACCTGACGGTTATGGTGCCGTCCAGCAGGAAGGGCGCTACAATATGGCCAAATCTAGACATAAGTGAAGCTTTTATAGGCCTTTCACCAAGAGATGCTAAGACGATGGGAAAAGAGGTGGAAGGGCAGGAAGTGGCTGGCAAGTAACCGTGAGCATGCCAGATCCAGCTGGGCCATTTTGAAGCATCCAGCGGCTAACCTCAAGGCAAAGTTATGAATAGTTTCATGTCTTGCGATGTTGCGAAAAGTGATGTGATCTCCAGTAGCTTGGGGTTGGGCATGTGATGGCTCTTCTTCAAGAAGCTATTGGTGGTCGACCTAGGCTTTTA